TTGTCTAAGCGCACTTAAACATTTGCATCATCTCTACGATTATTCGTCCAGGTAAAGGGGTGACCCATAAAATCAAATGGTAACAGATTACAGTTATCAACCACCTATTGAAATTGTTCAAGTTGACCGACTGATCGAATGTGAGGACCCCTTTTTTCATTTTCATAACTAGAATCTCATTGAAGTCGCCACAACACAACCATGGACCAAAACCCACCTGACTAAATTGGCAGAGAAGCTCCCAAGAATGAATCCGATGGCTGGGGTCGAGATGACCATAGAATCCAGTTATCCAATTAACAAAGGAATTGGGGAAAGTAACACTAACGTCAATATGTCTCGGAGAGGAAGAAAGCAACACAACCTGCAAATCAACCTTCCAAAGAATACAAAGACCCCTAGATAGCCCTTCACGGGGAACACATAGGACGCCTCTCACACCAAGCCTTCAGAGTAAACCACCAATTTGGATAGCAGTCATAAGAGTCTCATAAAGGCAAACAATGTCTGGTTTCTTGTCCTGAAGAAGGTTTTTGAGGTCACAGAACGTACGACTGTTGCCAAGCCCCTACACGTTCCAGCTTAACATAGACATAGAAAGAACTAAAAGATAGATCCATTATAACCACCGATCTAAGCAGGAGAGAGTACGCCGCACCACTCGAGCAAGAAAACCATAACAACAGAACAAATCAATCATAGAAACATTATGGCACTGAGTCGCCTAGGAGATTACCAACAGAAATCCAGAATCGAAACAAATAGCAACAAAGTAGGCGATGCGAGGAGGGCATGAGGGCAAAGAGCCCTAAACATAGCCTTGTGAGTGAGCAGGAATAGACCAAACTCGAGTCGAGACCCAATTGACCAAGACGATGGCTTTAGGCGACTAATCCGTAGGGAAAAAAAGGGGCGAGCAGCGGGGACGAAGCCAAGTTATCGGGGTTAGTAGCCAGATGACAAGAGAAGATGATGACGACGACAACCTAGGCGGAGAGAGAATGACGGCAATGGAGCATGAGATGATGGTGGCGAAACGCAAAGGGAAGCCTTAGATATGATGCAAGGCTCTCCTCGCGCAGCGAGAGAGCGACCCAACATTTATTTACTCAATTATGAACTCATTCTTCAAGCATGAGTTATGTGAGTTGGTTAGTGCCACATATGTCCAACTGTTTCACTTGAATTCGATTTCCCTATCCTGTAGATTAGAGTACGCTAGACTGTTACTTATGCGTGTTACTAACATAAATTATGAACTTGAACTTTTATTATTCCTAAGAAGTAAAACACTCGAACATTGTTTGAGGAATAAATATATTTTGAATGACTTATATCTAAATAACAATCTCTTTTTTATTTTATTTTGTTTTATTCTGGCCTTAACGGTTTCATTAGATATTTTATTACTAGAAGCCCTCTATTTTTTCGATTCCAATTCTTTCACCACCGCGAACCCCAGTTACATTAAACATGACGCACTTTTTAGTTATTGGAAGAACCCAAGTACTCTATTTCGGATCCAAAAAACAGCTCTTAGACCATCTCCAACCATGGGAGGTCAAACCTAAAATTTGAGATTTTTAGCCCAAAACCTTCTCCAACCCATGTATTTGGAGGGGGGGTAATTTGAGTGGACTGAAAAATGGGGTGGAATTTCACCTCAGATTCCAGTCCAGGCAGAATTTTTGTGGGGCCCATTTCGCAAAAGACAAGAGACACATGAGGCCACATTTGAAGCAAATGATGGGCTGTTGCCCACTACCCCAAGTTGCTGGCCACTTGTCAAAGCCTAGGCAACTTAAAAATTGGACTTCTATGGCTGCATATAAAATGGGCTCCTTTCAAATTTTTTTTTTAAAACTTAAAGGCTAGAAATCAACGGCTGATATTAAATTTTGGCTGGATCAAAGGGAAAAAAATTAATCCAACAGCTGAAATTTAAATCCAAAGGTCAAAATAAGTAAATATATTATTATAAGTTGGATGCAACCTCAAAACATATCCTAAACTCTATAAATACCCATCAATTTGTTAATAAAATTATGTTTGTGAAATCTCAAAAAATTTATGTCAAAATGTTCAAAAAAATAAATCATGAAGTAATATGCAAAAATTAATTTTAAAAAAATTAACCACAAAAACAAAATAGGATTATATTATTCTTTAATAATTTAATAAAGTTGCAGACTCAAATTATGAGTCCGCAAGGTTGGAGGAAAAAACAGTTTGAGTCCTAAAAATACATGAATAGTTGTATTTTGGAGGGTGAAAATTTGAGTTTAGCCCTAACATGATTGGAGATGGTCTTAGAGATCTTTTCTTCCTTTTGGAAGACCAGCCACAAAGGATATCTTACTTCCTTACTTCTTTTGGTTTGTTAAGGTTCTGATCCTTGTAGATCAGTTGGTACCATGCACACAAATCCACACTGTTAGTTTCTTTCTTCTGGTATATACTAGAATTATTAATCATAAAACAGAAAAAATGTGAGACATATTTTTAAAAGCTCTATGGGTTGCATTTCTTGAGCACATGTATAACCTTGGCTCTTCAATTGATTCGCAAGAGAAAGGTTTGCTCTGGCTGGCCAGGGCAGAGCACGAGGTCAGTGTATCATTGTCAAAATACATATATACACATGTAGGACACACTGGAAGGCCCCAACACTTAGCCATTTGGCGGGCTGTTTACGCACTGAGATGATAAAATTCAATTCAATATATCATGGAGGGGCTTTGAGGGCCTGCCAATCAGCTATCAAACTCGTGCAAAATCATATATTAAAAGCCTGAGGCCAATAATATTATTGGGTTTCTTTTTTCTTTCTGGCTAACATTTATATATGCAACCTTCTCCTTAGCTAGAGTAGTATATAATTCAAGTATTTAATATTTCATATGAAGCTAAAGCTACCATCCGGCAGAAGGTACAAATATTATTAATTACAAATTGGGAGCTTCCGAAAGGTTGGCTTACAGCCAGGCTGTGGTGCACATCACAAACAGTAGCTGAGAGATTGAAACCAAAACCTGTCAATGGTGAAAACCACAATGATTCGAGACAAATTTCAGCTTTGGCTATAGATTATGGAGCCTATAAAAAAAATAAAAAAAATAACACAAGCAGTATTGGGAGAGAAGAAACGGGAATCGAACATAGGACCTTGAATGTAGGGATAAATACTCTTAATCACTTGAGCCTTCAAACTAAGAATAGATTGCTGCGTTGAAAGTGTTTGATTTTGATTTTAGATTTCTGAGAACCAAATATTGAATAATTTTTTGAAACAAGATGATGATGAGCATGATGAAGCCATTTGATGAACAAACAAGATGATATTGACGTGTGCAATTTTTATGCATCTGATTGGAGATTGCGGCTTACAGTCTGACTTTCATGCTCATGCAAAGCAAGATAAATGAATGAGGCAAAATGGGAATAAAGATAAAGTAGGTGGTGTGTTAAATGCTTTAAATTAGTTGAGAGAGAGAGAGAGAGAGAGAGCTTCTATCTTCACTGGTTGAGTCATGAACCACAAAAGAAAAGTTAGAGCAGTGCCTGTCCAACAAATTTCTTAGTTTTTCTTTTTAAGGCCAGCTGGTTTAGTTAATGGTAGGATATAAAAACTGCTATATCAGCAAGAAAATGAAATCTGAACAAACTTTCATAGGGCAACACTATATGTAGCTATCTACTGCTTTCAAGAAAATTGGGCCATTTCTACCATCCAATAAAATATTGTCAACTGTTCGGATTTCTTGCATCTTTAATCCAATTGCAAAATGATCAAAACCCAATCCAAGAAGTATATGCAATGCAAGTCCCATGTACTTTCTGCTAACCTGCATAAACCAGACGATGCAAAAGTCAAATGGTAATGCTAGTGCAGTATCATTATTTATTTATAATAGCTTTTGTTTGCAATGTTAACTTGGAATTTGTTTCATCCTAACAATATGAACATCCAAGATCCAACTAAGAGAAAATTTTAGATAATATTATTCCCTGCCGTCCTCTTTTGCCTTTGATTTAATTATGTGTTATCTTCTCATCCACATCAGCAGAAAGATATGGAATTGAACACATTGGATGGCAAAAAGTTCTTGTCTAATTTCTTGACTTTCACCGTTGAGTGGTCCTGAGTCTATACATAAGTTCTAAAATATAGTTTTTATTGAGGGATCTTTCAAATAAGCTTATTTGAGGGAACACCTTTATAGGGCCTACTACACATTGTATTTCACTAATCCAAACCGTCTATTTTGTAGATATTCATTCAAAGGTCATCTCTACAAAAAATCACTTGAATATGATATCATTTGACCACTCAATTGAATTATTGAAATTTTAGTATTTTCTTGAAGCATGTACATTGATTTTGTAGGACACAATTAGATGTCGAAACGGTTTTCGATTTGTCTGATTTTTTGCAAGGATTATCTATGAATGTAGACTTGAAAATAAGGTTATATAGTTATTCTCTCATTCGGATGTCCGCATGTTATTATCGTGTATGGATTGTAAATAAAGAGAAAAGCAGGATGGGAAGTAGAAAGTACATGGTGTCCGCGCACGATAATTTCAAAATGAAAGCTGGGAGGAGGAGTATAATGGAGAAGAAGACATTAAGCATAATTAACTATTGTGAGGCTTAGCACTGTGGAAAGACAAGTTTGATGAAATTGTTTACAATGTTTGGTAAATAAAGTAGGACAAGAATTTGCTCAGAGTGGTAACTTATGATGTAAATAACAATATTTTTATGTGACAGCTACAATCATTGTGTCCACATTTCCCGTTTTCTACTGGTTATTGGTGCCTGCATCATGAGTGCTATATATATATATATGCAACTGTAACCTTCAGGCCTCGTTATCGGACCAAAAATTTGCTACAAACTAGAGGATTTTCTCAACAGAATATATGCCATTTCTGTTACTCTTGTGAAATCTTGGCATAAAAATAAATTACAAGAAGGAAAGACTTTTCAGGATCTGAAGTTTTCTTATGCTTCTGGCTTTCTAAAAACTTAAGTTGGTGCTTCTTTCATACCCTGGATTGCAGCAACCAAAGAGACTCTGCCAACATGAAGGGCTGGAAATTTCCTGCAAATGGTGAACACAATATTAATGGTGGATGCTCTGTTACAGGCTTACAGCAAAATAATAACACAACTCTCTTCAAAAGACCTTATAGAATGAACTTGCTTGGTGTCACAAAATTGTGCACTCTATTGATGAATATCCCAAACTGGTTTAGAGCAAGGCGACAAGTTCCTATAACTAATCACAATTTAGAACTCTCTAAACCAAATTTCTTGATGGACAAGGAATAACCAAATTAGTATTTTCCTGTAATTATCTGAAATGATCAAGAAATTAAATCGTACTAAGAAGTTGGGACATTCTTAACCAGTAGTTAATCTGGCAGAGCGATAAACATATGATGAAAAATGAAAACATGAATGTATACAGATCTTGAAACAGAACAAAATAAACAAGGAGCAATTGATAGCATCAAATTTGGTTTCAACTTACTGTCTCTGATTTAGTACTCTGATTTCCGACCGTCGATCTCACCATTGTTTCACCAGCTTTTCTCTTCTCCTTTGGGCCAAATTCCTTTCTTTTAAGAGTGTCACCTTCAATCAACAATGCTTCATTCAGCCTACTTTCTGGTCCAGTTTTATTGGAATAATTAGTACCAGGTCCACTAACAAAACTGGGTTGTTTTGCTGGTTTCGAATTGCTCGAAATCTTGTTGGGGACAGTAGTACTATCGCTGTAGCTAAATGTTCCTCGAACATCAGAAGTACCCTTTGGACCTTGTTCATCACTTTCCTTCTTTGCTTGAATATTCTGACCATAAGATGAATAAGACTTGGCCAAATCTATTGAAAAACATGCTTCGCTGAATTGATAACTTGGAGTCAAAGTCATGTCTTCAGAAATAGGAGTTGCTGGATCTTTTGGATTCGAAGAAGTGATGGCCATGCCTGCATCTGTTTGATCTGGTCCACCATGTCCAAATTTGCTAACTCTAACATTGAAATTTTGTTTAGGAGAATATAATCTCTCATCCCAGCCAATACTTTTAAAGTTGCCCTTGGAAACTTTCTGCCTTACCAACTGCAACAGTTCATTGCCTTCAATATTGTAATTTTCTGCTACACTGATCCCAAAAGAAGATGCTGCAGAATGCTTAGTCTGCCTCGAAAACGTGCTGGTGGACAGCAGTGGAGTTCCATTTTGGGGAGTTTGAAGACCTGTCTGGTTAGAAATGGCACAAGAAATATGAGTATCAAACTCACAAATGAGACATCTATACAGCCACCCATCATAACCTGGCTCATTGCAGAGATCACAACATAAATCGAATGGGGGTGAAAATGACAATTTCAATGCATGAGGGTGGGATGGAATAGCAATGCAAATGGGCAGGCCTGAGCACAAGCCATGGAAGTAAAGGCCGCAATCGGAGCAATCATAGTAAAATCCGGTGACATGATTTCCGCAAGCCTGACAATTCAGGGGCCCTTTGGTGCTTGAAGGTGGAGAAGGATGGAGGTTCAGGTAGTGGCTTGGATGAGCCGGGTGACGCGTTTTTGGGGGCATGTTGTAGCACACTTGGTGCAGGAAAAATGAGCATGTTGGGCAGCTGTAGTAGTCCTTACCAGGCAGTATCATGAGATTGCAACCAGCACAAGTCTTGTTCTGTTTGGGAGGTGAATTGGTATGCTCCAACGGATGTTCATGGCTAAAGTGGTGAAACTTTAGCCCCTGGTTTTCCATTCTTTCCCTTGTTAGTTTTGCTCCTTGAAGCTTGAAATTGAAATGTCCCTTTCTGTTTCTGGTATGAATTTAAGTTTGTGAGGCCTCAACAATTTCTTGAAATATCCGCAATTGGACCTCCTGATCTTGAAGAACACTGGCATATTACATTTGCCTTGACAAGTGCCAAGGCTAAAGTTTAATATAGGAGCAGGATTCTTCTTCACCGATTGGACTGTTTAAGCAGTATTTGGCCGGCACGTACAGTCCAATGCTTGTTTGCATAGGCAGCAATTTGCTTCACTTTAATTCTAATTGGAGCACTTTATTTATTTATTTGTATGCTTCTGCATATTTGGTTCATCTACACCAAGGATCCATCCACATTGATAAAAACTATTTAATATAAAAAATTAAAATCCTTCTTCAGAAATTATTCATGTTCACTCACCCGTAAGAATTTTTTTCTCTAACTATTATTCAATTTATGGCATGATTTACCCTTTAATATTTGTAAGCTAATCTAGAACATTTGCTTAATTGCTTAAGAAAGGAAATTGATGAACTAAATGATCAGGTCAGAAAATTGACCATAAACCTTAAAATTCACATATATTTTGGAACTCGGAATTTTTGGAATCTTGAGATACATTCTAATTCCAATATAATTTTATTTGAAATTTTCGTATTTCAGAACTTTCAAATATCAGAATTGATTTAGACTTATCAAAATTGGAAATTTTCGAATTGGAATCCGCCGGAATCTTAGAAAGATTGGGCGGAATTCATTTATGAAATTTCCAATCCAACTTGCAACCCTCGCTCAGCCTAATGGAAGATGGAAGGTTTCTTTACAGAATTCGTCGTATGAAAATAATTGTCTAATTACCAAGTTGAATACGTACTCTGGGCTTTATTAAAGAGATCCTATTTGGTATTGGGCTTGAACGAGGTTAATAATCCTATTCCCAGACTTTTCAATGGGGGCACATTGCGGGCTTCTCTCATATTTGGGCCAATGTTACTGTGTTTTCAACTTGGGTCATTTAAGCTATCTCAATGCCATGCATATCGCCTCGTCCCAAGGGCAATATAAAACAAAACAAATTACATAATCTCACTTGACCCGGTGCGATTGGTTCATGGGGTTGAATGGACGATATTGCCCCTGGTTATGTGCAATACACTTGACGACTAGTTGTTAAGTATTGTAGCAGAAGTTATAATTTGTGCTTATAGGCAACTAATATCCCAAAGCTAAGAATCCAAAGAATGCCAATTTCTACTGAAAATAAATTAATATTCTTTTCTTGGCTCTCACTTAGACTGTATCTGTTTGCATGCTTGTGACTCTCCATTTCTATGATTTCTTGTACGTAGATATATATATATATATATATATATATGTATGTATGTATCCCTATCTATATCTTTTAAATTACATTTCCCTATTCTCATAACTTTATATTGATATTTCAGAGAGAGGAGAGAGAAGAAATGGAGATCACACATGACAGTCACAACCATCCATTGATGTTCAAGGAAGAAGTGCAGAACAATAGATATGGTGGAAGTCTTTTCTGCAATGCATGTAAGGACACAGTTGACGGCCCTTGCCATTCTTGCAATCAATATTCCGATCTGATCCGTACCGAGATGTTTGGTTTGGTTAACGGAAACAATATTCCTAACCTAGCCGAAACCCTACCGATATGATATTTATACTTATTCTATTATTTAAATACAAAATAAGAAACCAAAGATAAATACAACTAGTATTTTGTATCACTCCTTTATTATTGCTGTATCACCATTTTATCGCCATTGTATCACTGCTTTATCACCATTCTATCACTTCTTTATCACCCGGGTACTGTAGCACTTTTTGGTCAGAGGGGAATTTATGAATTTCCTATGTTTCCAGTTTTGACCTTTGTCCTGTTTTTTATCTGTAACTTTCCAACCGTTGATCCAAATTTTATGTTCTTTATATGGTTGGATTCAACATGAAAAACTAAAGAACCCTATGCGAAACAAATGTCAAAATCATTTACATAAATGTAGAGAATTCAGTAAAAATAGCACTCAAATGTTCAAACAACAAACAAAAATGGCTCTCAATACATCTTGAGTATATATTAAATGATATAGTGACTAAGTTATTTGATTTCATACTTAGATGAATTAGACTATTGGATATTTATATTTAGTCATCAACATCCCGTAACTCTGACCAGCGGTCATCATCATGAGGTAATTCAATACGACTGTGATGATAATAGATCAATTACTTGGGTACATTTATTGGAAAAACCAATTTTTGATTTCTTTATTTGACCTTTTAATCTTTACTTCCCTCATAAACAAAGAATCCAAAGAAGCTTGTGTATAAGGTACTGAAAAGAAATGGATCTTTTCCTTTCTTCGTTCACTAGACTATATATATCTGTTAGCTAAAGATACAACAAATTCTATCTATTTATATGTGTGTGTATGTGTGTATCTCTATCTTTATCTTTTGGTATTACATTTCCATATTGTCAAAAATTTATATTGATATTTCTCAGAGAGAGAGAGAGAAGAAATGGAAATTACACATATTCACGACCATCCATTGATGTTCAAGGAAGAAGCGAAAAACATTTATGGTGCAAGTCTTTTTTGCAATGATGTATGCGACGAGGCAGTCGTCGGCCCTTACTACTCTTGCAACCAATGTCCCCGCAGCAGCAGCAGCTTCATTATTCATAAATCATGCACCGAGCTACCCGTTCAGATGCATCATCACCCCTTGCATGCCGAGCATCCACTCATTCTCATCAGAAATGCCCGAAATTATACTTGTAATGTATGCAAGGAAACGTTTTACGGCCCCACCTTGGCTCCCTTCGCTTACCGTTGTTCCAAATCTGGATGTGACTTCCTCCTCGACCTCAAGTGCACCTCCACATGGCGCAACATCACTGAAAATCATTTCGGTGATCATCCCCACCAATTCAGCCTCTATAAGAAACCAAAACTGAAATTCGAGTGTGGGGCATGTGGCGGACGTTACTCCGTCTATAGTTGTAGCATCTGTAAGCTCTGGGTCCGTAAGAACTGCACTTCATTACCAGGCCACCTCAAAACAAGAGCGCACCCACACCTTCTCATGCTTAGATGGTCCCTTGAAGGCATTATTAAAATCAGCCAGGAGGTTTGTAAACTATGCTATGAGAACATGCATGGAAGCGACTGTTTCTATTATTGTGAGCCTTGCCATTACATTGCCCACAATAGATGCGCAGTTATGGTGGACATTGATGACCTTGATGATGACGACATGATCGAGGGGGCCTCGAATGCTGATCATCCCATTAATCCTGATGTGCAGGCACAACAGATCACCAATGAAGATCTACATGAACAGATAAAGCACTTTAGTCATCAACATTTGTTAACCCTCATCAGCGGCCATCATGAGGTAATTAAATATGACGGTGATGATAATAGTACACTTAATTGTGACGGTTGCATCAGACCCATTTCCCCCACGGATGCCTTTTATAGCTGCATGCAAAAACAAGAAGAACAACAACGAAACTGTCATTTCTTTCTTCAAACAAACTGTGCTCGATTACCCACAAAGATGCGTAATCGATTTCACCCAGAACACAGTCACACTTCTCTCAAAAGCGCCTTCTATTGATGGTGTGTTTAAGTGTGACATATGCAACACTTTTAGCCAAGGTTTCGTCTACAATTGTAAACAATGTTCTTTCAACCTTGACCTTCAATATAATTTTCTTCCAGACTCGCTTAAACATGAGGCCCACGACCATTGCCTCATCCTAAACAGAGGATCGATGCATTGTGTTGGTTGTGGTTGTCGACCAGATTTCAGCTTCAGTTGCACGTATCTAGGATCATGTGTGTTCTCTATTTATTGTATTAAATGTGTCAAACTGCCTCTTATCGCTAGGCATAAATATGACAACCATCCTCTCAAGCTTACAGATGCTAGTGTTATAGACGATGATGAATATTATTGTGAAATTTGCGAAGGAGAACGAGATCCAGAATATTGGTTCTACAGCTGTGAAGACTGCGACTTCGATTTCCATCCTGACTGTGTTCTGGGGAGGTATCCTCAAATCAAGTTAGGAAGCACTTACAAGCATGATGCTCACCCACACCCTGTCACCTTTATTGATAAGATAAAGAGTGTCATTCCTAATGACAAGCGATACAAGGATATTAGTCCTTGCGAGGTGTGTCATGAACCTTGCGAAGGATTGGTGTATGAATGTTCAGAATGTAATATAAATATCCACCGAAACGGATGTTGCAACTAGCAAGAACAAGATTAGCGATGGACGGCGGCCGGCCAACAAGACTTTAGATTTGTGCGAAAATAAAAAGTGGGTCTTTGTAACCATCTGTGTCTCAAATATATATATAAATATATGTGATTAAAAAAATGTTATTTATACTTGTATATACTTCATTATATCATATAAATTCCTGAACTTTCGAAGTAATTTCAAATTAGTATTTGAAAACTCATGATTTTAAAAAGAATCATAGTTAGTTCACTTTTTTGAGTTGGATACCAAAAGAATCATAGTTTTTTATTTCATTTTTTTGAGTTGACAAGTGCCAAGGCTATAAAGTTTAATAGGAGCAGGATTTTTCTTGATCGATTGGACTGTTTAAGCAGTATTTGGCCGGCACATACAGTTCAATGCTTGTTTTCATTGGCAGTAATTTGCTTCACGTTATTCTTGTTGAAATTGGTATGTTTATTTTAAAATAAAATTATTCAATAATTACATTGAATTATCCTTTATAGTGGAAGTTAAATTTCTTTAATACTGGCTATTTTTTCTCAACGGCTTGTTTGCTGGTTTTAAAGTCTCCAACAGCTATTTTATTGAATATTGTGTGTGTGTATATATATATAGAGATTTTCTATTTAAACCCCGCACTTCTCTTTGTTCACCCCAATACTTAAATCATTAAGCTGTAAGTTTTATTATTGTATAAAAAGACAAAAAAGGTCATCCAACTTAATAATTAACCCTAGTACATCTATACACACACCCCCGCACACCCCACCACTCTTTATATTAAGTTTTAAAAACCTCCTTCCAACTTCCTGTTTACAAACTCTCTCTCTCTCTCTCTCTCTCTCAACTCAACAATACCCAAGTGTTAGAATTCCAGTTACAGTTCTTGGAGAAAGGTAAAATTGTTTTCTTTCTCTAGGAAATATTAAATTTCAGATTTGGGGTTTCATTTGTTTGTGTTTTTTGCTGAGAACAAAGAAAATTGTGGGATTTAAATAGAAAATCTCTTTTAGTTTTTATTTTTTTAGTTTGGGGTGTATTTAAGGGTAGTTTGGGAAGATAGTGGGGTTTTCTTAGAAATTGTGAAAATTTAAATTAAAAGTTGGGGTGAACTTAGAACATGGGGTGAACTAAGAGTAGTGTGGGGTTTAAATAGAAAATCTCTATATATATTAGCTATAGCTTGCACAAGAAAAAAAAAAAAGCTACATCCTTCTTCCTCTTCCTTCCTATGAAATTCTCTCTTCCGTTTATTTATTTTACTGAGATTTTGAGCAACATAGTCAGAAATGTGTTTGTATTTGGGTCCTTTCTCAGTGCAAAGAAGAACCTAGACAGAGAAGATTCTGGGGACGTAATGGCATTTTTTGAACTGCTTGCACAAATTGGGCAGAGCCACGAAACGTCTTAAAGAGAGCGACTTAGTCCGCGACTCATCCCAAGAATCGTTCATAGCTACATGTTGTATTTTCCGGGTAATATTGTTCTCTTAATTTAATTTCTGCACCAACAATTTTAAGACGTTCTATCTGCCATAGATGTTGGGAACCAATTTTAAAAGTAGATTTTGGATGCTACTCAAATTATTTCCATAATCATTCATGTATTTTCCGGCGGGTAACTAATTCCTGCATATTGAAGGACATTGTGGTAGCATGACTAAATATTTATCTAATCTCATTGGCTAATGGTTTGATTTTGGCAATTTTGGCTTTGACAATACCCATGGTTGGTATGAACATGAGATAAGTGATTTCTACCTCGGTAACTCCTAATAAGCTTATTGGTTTGTTATATTTGATTTACTGCTTCTAGCTGCTGGCTTTTCCTTTGTGCTTTTGGAATTGAATTTTATGATGATTACAAAATGAGAGTTTTCTTTTTATGTTGGTTGGAGAGTTATATTTATATTTGTATCCTTTGAAGCATAATTAGCCTATTAGGTGTGTGAATCACGCTACTTCTCCATTTTGGAAAGCATTGATAAATAGTCTGTCCTTACTTAACAAAGTTAAGCTTTTGAATAGAGAAAAGGTTTTATTTGCCTTGTGACTTCCTTATTAATGTCACAAATATGATGCTTCACAAAACTACTCAATAAATATAGGGTCATTATCATAAAGGTCTACTATACCAGCTTCATATCTAAATTGACGTATACGATCCTGATATGGCGTAAGCCAATCTGATGCAGTTATGGTTGCACATCTCAACCAACGCTCATTAACTGGTGGCATAGGGTGTTGACATTCCAAATAAACCTGTAAAGTGAAAAATAAAAAAATAAATCAAGTTATGTGAAAAGAATAGTAAACAAACATATATATATATATATGCATAAACATCTTAATTGTTTTACCTTAATTCAGTGGTTGTGGTTAACAAATCCAATCAAAATCTCACGGCGATAGATAGAATCCAATGGAGCAGTCTCATATGGAAAAAATGTAAGTGACTGATGCACTGACCAAGTCACAAGGATTATATCATAATAAGATGCAATGAGGTGTCCCATATCTGGTATAGTCAACCACCTATCTTGAAGTGGGAAGTCCTCAAAATAGTCTAACATATACTCAGTATGTTGTACCCGTTCCTTACCATTTAATATTAACTCGTATATGACAGATTCTTTCCTCAACTCCTTCAACAAGCCTCTGCGTACTTTGCGCCAAACATTGTCACCAAATCCCATCAATGATCCAATGGCTCTAAAACCACAACTACCATTACTCTTAACATCTTGTGCTCCTCTAATATGTACCAACATATGTTTAGGAAACCACTTGTTAAACTCTGGTGTTAAGCAAGAGTCATCTACAATGGGTTTAGGCCTATAGACCTGCATATTACAATTACACCCAAATTACAATATAAACGACAGTATACAAATTTAATATTGTCACAACTTATAGGGAGCTTCGAAGGCTGCTTCTTTGGATTCACAAATGGCAATGGTTAGATACATCTTCTAGATGCTTAAAAAAAAAAAATCAAAGTTAATACCTCTTTTGATGACTTCCTCGAAATGTATGAAGCATCTATTCCAAAATTTCAAAAGTAACCTAACTTGCAAATCTGCATAATTTCAAAAGTACAAAAGAGGCTTTGAAACTCCTTATGATAGGAATCTAAATACATTAATAAATAAATAAATAAGCAATTCAAATAGAACATTACTTTACAGTGGACAACTCTGAATGTCACATTACCTGAACCTCCTACACAATTGGAAGAGGCTTTGTCAACGAAACTGTGTGCAAGACAACAATGTATTGCAGAAGTCACAGAGATGATTCATGTTAGTATTATCTTTGTTGATGATCCTATTAATGTTGCTTTTATTTTGATATATGCTACATAAAACTGGAATAATATCTCTACAATGTACTAATAAGAGGCCAATTCATTTGTGTCATTCCAAAACTGTTTTCTAATGGCTTGTTCTAAGCCCTACATTGAGGTGGATGTGCACGAATAACAAGACTTTTTCCCCGAAAACTAGTGCTCTAAGGTGTACTTTTGGTTCACTAAAATTGATCAAGTTTCATGTTTTTCACTTATAAGAACATAAGAGAAAAACAATAAGAAAGGTGCATGAGTGGCAAAAGAAAGTCACTGCAAACTTCATCAAATTGGCCCTAGTAGTACTAGTTAAGATATTTTTAATCATACACGCTCACAAGCCAGAAAAACTAAGTCCTAAAAGGGGGATGAAGATGGTGCCACCACAGTAGGGTCAAAGAGTTTTTCATTCATGTTGTTAGTGAACTAGGCAAAAGTAATATGCATAAATTCTATTTTTACAGTATATAAGTCAATTCACCATAATATTGTTTTGACAACTTACTCGATTGAAATTATCGTGTCTCTTGTCAGGAATTCAATGATTAATCAGGCTTTCACATAATCTCTACCGCTGTGCTTCCTTTTGGACTGTGAGAAGAAGCAGATTTGAGCCCAAGTCTTCTTCTGCTTAGCAGGTTGTGCTTTAACTTCTCTTTTCACGACAAGCTCAGTCATGTATTGAACAATAGCCTAAGATTATATTTGCTCCAAGCCATTCCGACTCGCGAATCACAAAGATGGGAACCAAGTAATCTCTTGATTAGGGTTGAATACGGTTAGTAGAGTGTACTTATTAAAATTATATTTGTTTCACAATTCCATATATCCTTTTTGGTCATTTTATATTAGGATAAATCAGTAATTCAATATATACTTTTGTAGTAGGGTGTACTCAGTTAATTTTAGGATTCGTTTAGCAGCGCTAAAAAATAATTCAGGGTGTTACAACGATCAAATTGTATTTTGCCAACCAAATGGAGATAACCATAAAAACATCACCAAACTCAAGTAAGAAGGCCAGTGAAATTAAAACAAACTAATGAAGATCAAATACAATTTCAGATAAATTAATCAAAGCTTAAAAGGTTTCAGAATTGAAATACAATTCCGTCCGTCCGCATTGCCCGTCCCATCATTTTTGCTGCTAATGGAAGGCCACCACATTTTAGTTTGATTTCCAACTTCAGATCATCCAAGTTTGAGGCATTCAACAGAGCCGGATCATAGAAATTCAACAGAGCCCGGTCATCCTCAACCCGATCATCCTCATCCTCATCATCCTCATCCTCATCATCCTCAACCCGATCATCCTTATCCTCATCGTCCTCATCCTCGTCATCCTCAACCCGATCATCCTCATCCTCATCCTCATCATCCTCAACCCGACCATCCTCATCCTCAACCCGATCATCCTCAACCCGACTATCCTCAACCCGATCATCCTTAACCCGATCATCCTCAACCCGACTATCCTCAACCCGATCATCCTTAACCCGATCATCCTCAACCCGACTATCCTCAACCCGATCATCCTTAACCCGATCATCCTCAACCCGATTATCCTCAACAGTGTCCTTGAAAATTGCCCAGCAGATGTCGGGGTCTGAAAGTGGCAAAAGGTGGTGTATATTTTTCTCCCCAACCATCATCTTTGCTACTTCTTCATTCC